AATAGAGAATAGAAGAGAAAGAATAGAATAGAATAGAATAAAGAGAATAGAATAGGAGGAATGAAGATAGAATAGAATAGAATAATATAGAATAGAATAGTAGAGAATAGAATAGAATAAGAACAGAATACAAGATAGAGAATGGAATAGAGAATAGAATAGAGAATAGAAGAGAAAGAATAGAATAGAATAAAGAGAACAGAATAGGAGGAATGAAGATAGAATAGAATAGAATAATATAGAATAGAATAGAATAGTAGAGAATAGAATAGAATAGAAGATAGAGAATGGAATAGAGAATAGAATAGAAGGAATGAAGATAGAATAGAATGGAATAATGAAAAAGAATAGAATAGAATAGTAGATAGAGAATAGAATAAGAATAGAATAGACAATATAGAATAGAATACACTAGACCAGTGGTTCTCAACCTTTTTAATGCCGCGACCCCAACCGGTCGTAAGTCGAGGACTAAACCGGTTGTAAGTCGAGGACTAAACCGGTCGTAAGTCGAGGGCTAAACCGGTCGTAAGTCGAGGACTTTCCCTGCCTGGGAGCGCCGCGCATGCGTGGTTCCGCCCCCTGCGCCGGCCGAGGCATAGCTGGCAAGCGGCAGAGACGGAGCAGGCTGACCACCAGCTGGCCCAGCCCAAGGGAGGTAAGGCACCCGCCGGAAAAGGGGGAAAAAATGGCGGACAAAAAAAATGGCAGACAAAAAAAATGGCGGACAGCCTTGCTTGGCGACCCCCATGAAATGGTCGATCGACCCCAAATGGGGTCCCGACCCACAGGTTGAGAACCACTGCACTAGACTATAGGTTGCTTTAAGAGGGAAGGACTTCCACTCCCAGAATTGTTATTTAGATAGTAACCTGGTGGTTAAGTGAATCCAGCTGCCACGTTGACTTTTGCTGCCGCTACGACGGTCATAAATACGGGTCAGTTGCCAAGCGCCTGAATTTCGAACCCGTGAGCGGGGCGAGGCTACAAATGGTCCTGCGTGTGAAAAACGGCCCCAAGTCCCTTTTTTTCCGCTGCCGTTGTAACTTTGGAACGGTCCCTAAACGAACTAAGTCGAGGATACCTGGATGAATTTTCAAGTTAGGCGTGTCTAAAAAAATCCAAATAATTGGCTCTTTTGTCCATGAAAGTATCCTTTGCTTTAGATCTCCAGGGGTCCAAATATGGGAAACGATCCCGGAACTGACAGCCCTGCATTCCCGCGTCGGCCGTCCCGGAAAATCTCGGAAAGCGAAGAGGACGATGGCTTTTTAGAGATTATGAACGGCCCGGAGAGCGCTGTAAGTTCATGCTGGTTTAGTCCTGGCTAGTTACATTAACCGGGCCAGATTCTTCCAAGGGGAGAGTCCAGAACAATTTGATTCCGTCCTGCAGCCTGGCGAGATAGTGTAGATTTTGAATTTTTTTTTTTCCTAAACAAACCAAGGAAGACTAATGTTTAAAAAAAAAACATTTGCAGAGGACACCAAGCTGGCAGGAGTAGCCGACCCCCCCAAAAAGATCTTGACCAACTCGAAGAATGAGTTTTATTTTATTTTATTTTATTTTATTATTTTATGTTATTTTATTTTATTTATTTTTTATTTATTTTATTTTATCACTTTGTTATGTTATTTTATTTATTACTTTTTTTATTTTTATTTTTATTTTTTTTATTTTGTATATTTTGTTTAGTTTTATTTTTTTTAATTTATTTTACTTTATTACTTTATTTTATTTATTATTTTATTTTATTTATTACTTTATTTTATTTTATTTTGTTTATTTTTATTTTTTATTTTTTTATTTTTATTTATTTTTTATTTATTTTATTTATTTACTTTTTTATTTTATTTTTTATTTTATTTTTACTTTATTTTATTTATTATTTTATATTTATTTTATTTATTTTATTTATTTTGTTTAGTTTTATTTTTTATTTATTTTTATTTATTATTGTATTTTACTTATTCATTTTTTATTTTATTTTATTTATTTTGTTTAGTTTTATTTATTTTTTATTTTATTTTATTACTTCATTTTATTTTTTATTTTATATTTACTTTATTTTATTTATTATTTTATTATATTTATTTTATTTTATTTATTTTATTTATTTTGTTTAGTTTTATTTTTTATTTATTTTTATTTATTATTTATTGTATTTTACTTATTCATTTTTTATTTTATTTCATTTATTTTGTTTAGTTTTATTTATTTTTTATTTTAGTTATTTGTTTTTATTTTTTTATTTTAAGTTATTACTTAATTTTATTTATTTTATTTATTTTTATTTATTATTTTATTTTATTTTTATTTTATTTATTTTGTTTAGTTTTATTTATTTATTTTACTTATTTTATTTTTTGTTTTAATTTGTTACTTTATTTTATTTAGTTTTTATTTATCATTATTTTATTTATTTATTTATTTATTTTACTTATTTATTTTTTATTTTATTTTTTTTTTTAAATTATTTTTAATTTAATTTAATTTTATTATTTTATTTTTTTGGAACCGTCCGCGGATCTTCTCGGTTCCCCTACCAGGAAAACGAGCACCGAGGAACTTGTCAGTGTCATAATTTCTTGCTGCCTTTTGTTTTTTTGTTTCTTTTTTCCTGCCTATAACTTGAGGGCTTTTTTTTTTTTTTTTTTTTTTTTTTTTTTTTTTTTTTTTTTTTTTTTTTTTTTTTTTTTTTTTTTTTTTTTTTTTTTTTTTTTTTTTTTTTTGGTCTCCAGAACGATGATGAGATGCCGTCGGACATGTCGAGCCTCTGGACCGCCCCGCTGGTGGTCTCTAAGGGGGAAGACCTGCCGGTAAGTTTTGGGGCTTTGAAGCTGGCAACTTTGGGTTTTGAAGCTCGATTTAGCAAAAAAAAAATCCCCCTCTTTCTTTCTTTCTTTCTTTCTTTCTTTCTTTCTTTCTTTCTTTCTTTCTTTCTTTCTTTCTTTCTTTCTTTCTTCCTTTCTTTCTTTCTTCCTTCCTTCCTTCCTTCCTTCCTTCCTTCTTTCCTTCTCCCTCCCTCTTTCTTTCTTTCTTTCTTTCTTCTCCCTCCCTCCCTCCCTCTTTCTTTCTTACTCTTTCTCTCCGTCCTTCCTTTCTCTTTCTTCCTTCCTTCCTTTCTTCCTTTCCCTCTTTCTTACTCTTTCTTTCTTTCTCCTCCCTCCCTCCCTCTTTCTTACTTTCTCCCTCCCTCCCTCCTTTCTCTTTCTCTCTTCCTTCTTTCCTTCTTTCTCCCTCTTTCTTTCTTCTCTCCCTCCCTCTTTCTTACTCTTTCTTTCTCTCTCTCCCTCCCTCCTTCTTTCTTCTTTCTCCCTCCCTTCTTTTTCTTCCTCCCTCCCTCCCTCCCTTTCTTTCATTCTTTCCTTTCTTTCTCCCTCCCTCTTTTTTCTTTCTTCTCCCTCCCTCCCTTTCTTACTCTTTCTTTCTCTCCCTCCCTCCCTTCTTTCTCTTCCTTCCTTCTTTCCTTCTTTCTCTCTCTGTCTTTCTTTCTCTCTCCCTCCCTCCCTCCTTTCTCTTTCTTTCTTTCTTTCTTTCTTTCTTTCTTTCTTTCTTTCTTTCTTTCTTCTTTCTTCCTCCCTCCCTCCCTCCCTCCTTCTTTCTCTTTCTTTCTCCTTCCCTCCATATTTTAGGACACTTTAGAGCCCCATTTTCTGTCGGGCACCCTCTATTTTCTATCCTATTTTCTATTCTATTGCATTCTATATTCTATTGTATTCTAATTTCTATATGCTATTCTATTCTAATTTCTATATTCTAATCTAATTTCTATATTCTATTCTATTCTAATTTCTATATTCTGTTCTAATTTCTGTATTCTATTCTAATTTCTATATGCTATTCTATTCTAATTTCTATATTCTAATCTAATTTCTATACTAATCTAATTTCTATATTCTATTCTGTTCTAATTTCTATATTCTATTCTATTCTAATTTCTATATTCTAATCTAATTTCTATATTCTATTCTATTCTAAGTTCTATACGCTATTCTGTTCTAATCTAATTTCTATATTCTATTCTATTCTATATTCTACTATTCTATTCTATTCTTCCTTTGTAGGGTTCATGCTTCCTCCCCTTTGTTCCTCCCTCTTCACTCCTTCGTCTTTCCCTTTCCTTTCCTTCTTCCTTTCCCCTTCCTTTCCCTCTTCGTTTCTTTCCCCTTTCCTTCTTCCTTCCCTTCCCTTCCCTTTTGAAATCGTACATTGCCGCCTACTCGCCCATCGCAACTCCAGGCGGCTTCCGCGGATATCACAAACGCCATCTACTACTACTACTACTACTACTACTACTACTACTACTACTACTACTAATAATAATAATAATAATAATAATAATAATAATAATAATAATAATAATAATAATAAAAGAATGACAGGGGCTTTGGCTTTGCCTTCCACCCAGAGCCAGCCTCCCCAATTGGGCAGCGCGGAGAAGGCCGCCGGCAGCCAGACTAGGACGACCCTGAAACGGACCGAGAAGGCCGCCGAAGAGAGCCTCATCCCGGCCTTCAGCAAGCGGCGCAGGAACACCCACACGGGACTCGCCGAAGAAGCCACGGTTGGTAGCCGGACGCAGTGACACACACACACCCCTGGTTTGCCCCGAAGCGCGGTGGAGGGAATGGGGTCTGTCTAGCCTAGCGAAAAGAAGGACTTTGAGAAGGGGGGGGTGTCTTCCCACGTTGGAGGGGGCTGCCCCAAAGGAAAGGAGTGTGTGCGTGTGTGTGTGCGCGCGCGCGCGCGCGTGAAACTATATTCCAGAGCCCCGGAAGGCAGGACAAGAAGCCGCAAAGAGGATCAGGGGACCGGAGGCGAAAACATAACAAGGAATGGCGGCTGGAGTTGGGTCTGTCTAGTTTAAGGAAGAGAAGGACGAGGGGGGACATGATAGCCGTCTTCCAATATCTCAGGGGCTGCCCCAAAGAAGAGGGAGTCAAGCTATTCTCCAAGGCGCCTGAAGGCAGGACAAGAAGCAACGGTGGAAACTAACGAAAGAGAGAAGCAACCTAGAACTAAGGAGAAACTTCCTGACAGTGAGAACAATTAACCAGTGGAACAACCTGCCTCCAGAAGCGGTGAATGCTCCAACACTGGAAGTTTTTAAGAAGAGACTGGACAGCCATTTGTGTTATAGCTGGCTGAGCGGCCGTACTCAGCGTGTGGTCCTCAACGGAACCGCATCTCCATGGAGGGAAGTGTGTCGTGGGGTGCCCCAGGGCTCTGTTCTGGGCCCAGTGCTCTTCAACATCTTCATCAACGATTTGGACGAGGGGATAGATGGGGAACTCATCAAATGTGCGGACGACACCAAGCTGGCAGGAATAGCCAACCCTCCAGAAGTTACAGGCTTAGGATACAGGAGGACCTGGACAGGCTTGAACACGGGGCGCTATCTAACAAAATGAAATTCAAGGGTGAAAAAAAGTAAGGTTCTACATTTAGGCAAGAAAAACCAAATGGACAGGTATAGTATAGGGGGAACCTGGCTCAATAGTAGTAACTGTGAGAGGGATCTCGGAGTCCTAGTGGACAATCATTTAAATATGAGCCAGCCCTGTGCTGCAGCTGCCAAAAAGGCCAACACAGTGCTGGGCTGCATTAACAGAGGGATAGAATCAAGATCACGTGAAGTGTTAATATCACTTTACAAGGCCTTGGTAAGGCCACACTTGGAATACTGCACCCAGTTTTGGTCACCACGATGTAAAAAAGATGTTGAGACTCTAGAAAGAGTACAGAGAAAAGCAACAAAGATGATCAGGGGACTGGAGGCTAAAGCATATAAGGAACGGTTGCTGGAATTGGGGATGTCTAGTTTAAGGAAGAGAAGGACGAGGGGGGACAGGATAGCAGCGTTCCAGTATCTCAGGGGCTGCCCCAAAGAAGAGGGGAGTCAAGCCGTTCCCCTAAGCGTCCGATGGGAACCCATCCAGGAGAAAAGCAACCTGGAACTAAGGAGGAATTTCCTAAGAGTGAGGACAATTAATCGGTGGAACTACTGGCCACCAGACGTTTGTGGGGGCTTCGTCGCTGAAGGTGTTGAAGAAGAGATCGGACAGACATTGGTCTGAAATGGAATAGGGTCTCCTGCTTGAGCAGGGGGTTGGAATAGAAGACCTCCAAGGTCCCTTCCAACTCTGTTATTCTGTAAGGGTCTCCTGCTTGAGCAGGGGGTTGGACTAGATGACCTCGGAGGCCCCTTCCAACTCTTGTTATTCTGTTACTCTGTAAGGGTCTCCTGCTTGAGCAGGGGGTTGGACTAGATGACCTCTTGAGACCCCTTCCAACTCTGTCATCCTGTGATTCCGTCAGGGTCTCCTGCCTAAGCAGGGGGTTGGACTAGAAGACCTCCAAGGTCCCTTCCAACTCTGTTATTCTGTAAGGGTCTCCTGCTTGAGCAGGGGGTTGGACTAGATGACCTCTTGAGACCCCCTCCAACTCTGTCATCCTGTGATTCCGTCTGGGTCTCCTGCCTGAGCAGGGGGTTGGAATAGAAGACCTCCAAGGCCCCTTCCAACTCTGTTATTCCGTCAGGGTCTCCTGCCTGAGCAGGGGGTTGGACTGGAAGACCTCTAAGGTCCCTTCCAGCTGTTATTTGCTCTGCCCGGGGTAGGGAGAAGGCTGAATGAGAATAGAACCAGTCAAATGATGGGTAGAGGTTTGAAGGGGGAAGGAGAGGAGGAGAATGCAACTAATCCTCTACTTAGAAATCATATGTTGTTACAAGAAGCCTGAAAAATGTGACTTGGGACCAGTTTTCACACTTAGAGAGATGATGGATGGATGGATGGATGGATGGATGGATGGATGGATGGATGGAGAGAGAGAGAGAGAGAGAGAGAGAGAGGGATGCTAGGGATAGGTTAATGGATAAGTTAATGGAAATAAATAAATAAATAAATAAATAAATAGGTAATAGTGACAGACAGACAGAGAAAGAGGGAGAGAGAGAGAGAAAAAAAAAGAGACAGAGAGATGATAGAGATAAATGATAAGAGATATAGATAGGTAGACAGACACATTGATATGAATGAATGGATAGATGATAGATAGACAGATAGGTGTGGGTGGGTAGACAGACAGACAGACAGACAGATAGGGCAGACATAGGATAGATAGATAGGACCGAGAGATAGGATATGGATAGATAGGATAGACAGATAAGAGAGGTAGGTAGGTAGGTAGGTAGGTAGGTAGGTAGGTAGGTAGGTAGATAGATAGATAGATAGATAGATAGATAGATAGATAGATAGATAGATAGATAGATAGATAGATAGATAGATAGATAGATAGATAGATAGATATAAATTAGGTGATAGACATATAGAAGAGATAGGTAGGTAGGTAGGTAGGTATAGAGATAGATAGATAGATAGATAGATAGATAGATAGATAGATAGATAGATAGATAGATAGATAGATAGATAGATAGATAGATAGACAGACAGACAGACAGACAGACAGACAGACATATAGAAGAGATAGGTAGGTAGGTAGGTATAGAGATAGATAGATAGATAGATTGATTGATTGATTGATTGATTGATTGATTGATTGATTGATTGATAGGACAGACAGACAGACAGACAGACAGA